CAGGTGCACTACTCATTTGAACAACATTAGCCGCTTTATGTTGTTCAACATACTCTTCAAACATTTTAGTAAGAGTATCTTGAACAATTTTCATTTGCTTAGATGCCTCATCCTCTGAATAAATGAAACTAAAAGAGGACTCAACCAACTTCATCTTGTATCTAGGATCTAAAACAGCACCAATGGAAATCAACAAATTACAAGTACCCCAATATTTGTCAAATTTCTTTTTCATCTTGAGAGCCATATCTCTCATATATTTACTCTCATCCAAAAATAAATCATCTAATGCTTCTTTAATCCCATACAACTCACTAAGAAACAAATTAGAGGTAGGATATTCGGAGCCTATAAAATAAAAGAAGTAAATAAAAGTCTATGAGAATTAGGTGATTAGCTTCGAAAAAATGACTTCTAATGAAAACCATAAATAAAATCAATAATACCAGAAATTATTTTTGTAACCTCATTGAAAAGCCCCAAGAGTACTTTTCATTCTTGATGTGTTTGCACTTGATTCAATTTCCGTTGATTTAAGTTCTTGAGGCGATTGTATTCGATCTAAATATAAATCATCATGAAAGAAATATGGACCGCTACAAGAGACATCAGACATCTACAAAGTGAAATAAAAAACATTTTAAATAATCAAAACAATAATTTAAATTAACTATATAAAACCAACGAAAATTTAGAAAAAACAAGTATAAAATTCTAAGCTATAAAAACAAGTATAAATTAACAAGCAAACTATTTATACAAACTTTAGATTGAAAGCAAAAAAAAAATTACTTATCTCATTGATAAATAAGTCAAATATAGATGGTGACATGATAACCACTCACAAATTGTTTATATATAAACATGAATGCTTATGTTTACTTATCTTGACATTGCAACCAGTAAGTTTGCAGCCATTGTGGGTTGTTCTTTGTAGGGATGTCTTTGTATATAAACAGATTACCAAATTATGCTAGATGCAAGTGCAGTGCTAACTCTAAATGTATACTTTTTGACAGAGGGTAAGTGCAGAAAATATGATCTTAACTATCAATACAATCAAGAGTCTTGAGGAAACTGTAAAACACTTTTTGCACTCTGGTGACTTGGATTTCAGATTCCCAATACTGCCATAACTTAGATCAATGTTCTCTTGTAATAGCATCAACGCCTTCCACAGTTTGTTTACAAGAGAAACAACAATTAATTTTACCACATTTTAAGATTCTTGACTCACCCCTACATTACAAAATGCAGCAAAATAAATTATCATTAAGTACTCGTTCCTAACCTTTATCGGTGTGTTTATGTGGATGAATGAACTTTTTCAACATCTTAAGGAATTACATGAAAGGAATTACCTAGATTGAGACTGTCCCTGCCCTTCACGATTGGCGATTCACGAGTTCATGAGTCACTAGTCGACCACCGGTCACGAAAATTGATCTTCCCTTCTGGCTTCTGCTTCTGCCCTTCACGAGTCACGACCACCAGTCACAAAAATCGATCACCCTTCTGCTTCTGCCCTTCACGATTCACGACCACCAGTCGATTGCTACAAACATGACCTAGAATTACTACCATATTGAGTGAGAACCTAGAAGACAACCTAACAAAACCCTTTTAAAAAGCCCAATACTAAAAGTCCAAAACCCTCTTAAAAGCCCAATACTTAAAAAGCTTTTAAAATTTGAATTCAAACTAAATAAATAAAAATTATATATTAAAACTAATACATAAACGAACTTAAACGAACATAAACGAACGAACGTTCACGAACATAAATGAACGAACGAGGCTCTTGTTCATGTTCGTTCGTTTAACTAAACGAACAAAACTTTTTGTTCATGTTCGTTCATTTATTAAATAAACGAATTTCCCGCCGAACGGTTTACGAACGGTTCGCTGAACGTTCGGTCGTTTACAGCCCTACCAACAAATATAGGTGATACAAATGAATAATTTGTACCAGAATCAAATAGCATCTTGGCATATACATAATTGATAAGAAAGATACATGTTACCACATCATGAGTTTCCTCCCCCTCTCCTTTTGTCATATGAAAAGATTAGCCCCTCGCCTTATCCTACTCACCTCTTAGGATGTTGACTCATCCATTCGCAGTCGGAGTATTTCCACCCAAAGTCAACCTTGGAGCTTTTAATTGGGAACAATCTGGTCTAATATGATCGGGGGAATTACAACGAAAACATCTTTGAGGAATCCGACAATTTCTGGACAAGTGCCCTAGCTCCCCACATCTATAACACTTCATCTGTTCAAAATTACAGTCAACCTGATGAACACGGTGACATTTCTGGCACGGTCTTTGACCAAGTCGTTGGGTAGGATGGTTCTCTATCTTTACAAATTTTGGTCTTTTGTATTGAGTCGAAGACCCTTCACCTTCTCCTCCCCCTGCATGTTCTTGTTCCTTTCCGTTGTCTCTACAACATCTATTGTTAGAGGAAATGTAGAAGGATTCATGGCAATCACCAACTCTCATATCGAAGGCTTTAACCCCCAGATGTATTTCTCGACTTTACGAGATTCTGACGAAATATAATGTTATGAAAATCGAGAGTGTTCGATAAATTTCTTAGTATACTCTCTTACCGTTTGATTACCTTGTTCTAACTTTAAGAATTATTCTTCCAGTTGTCTGACAGCTGCTTTCGGACAGAACTGCTCTCTGAATCGGTCAACAAATTCTATCCAGGACATTGTCTGCAAAACATTAGGTTCTGCTAGTGATTCAATGTCCCACCAGTACAGTGCATTTGACTTCCACATTGACATAGCAATTCTGACTTTATCTTCATATGAAGATTTACTGGTATATTTACCAAAAGGCCTTTGGCTTAGTGGTACGTAGCCTTTGGCCTTCTAGGAGGTCAGGGGTTCAAACCTCACCATATGTGATGAGGGTGTGTGAGTTTGTTTTGTTGCATTTACCGTATATAAATATTATATACTTAAAAAAAAGATTTACTGGTATTAAATACAGATTCTATCTCCCTTAACCAACACATAGTCTGTTGGTCCCAAAAGGGTCTACAAGAATACTAAACAGTTTGTAGAAGGG